GTCATTCATTTGCTCTTTCTCCTCAATGTGATTCTCCACCTCCTCACTTTCCTTTCCTTCCATCTCCTCCACTTCTTCCACCTTGCAGTTTTTTCTTGGCCTCCTCCTCCTTCTCTTTTTCTTCACCTCCTCCTCCTTTTCAATGTCATTCATTTGCTCTTTCTCCTCAATGTGATTCTCCACCTCCTCACTTTCCTTTCCTTCCATCTCCTCCACTTCTTCCACCTTGCAGTTTTTTCTTGGCCGCCTCCTCCTTCTCTTTTTCTTCACCTCCTCCTCCTCCTCCTCCTTCTTTTCAATGTCATTCATTTGCTCTTTCTCCTCAATGTGATTCTCTACTTCCTCACTTTCCTTTCCTTCCATCTCCTCCACTTTTTCCAACATGCAGTTTTTTCTTGGCCGCCTCCTCCTTCTCCTTTTCTTCAGCTTCTCCTCCTCCTCCTCCTCCTCCTCCTTTTCAATGTATTTTATTTTCTCCTCATTGTTCTCCTCCTGAGCTTTCATCTTGTCCTCCTCCTCCTTTATTTGCTCAAACAGAAACTTTGCCGCAGATAGCCTTCTGGCGATAATTTTCCTTCTCCAGAACTCCTTCTCTCGGGTGCTGGTATCTTTTCTTTTCTTTTTCTCCACCACCACCTTCTCCTCTTTCATCACCCCCTCCTCCTCTTTCATCACCTCCTCCTCCTTCTCCACCACCTCTTCCTTCTGCATTATCTCTTTCTCTTCTTCCTTTTTCTCCACCACCTTCTCCTCCTCCATTTTCCTTCTCCAGAACTCCTCCTCTGACAGTCGGGTGCTGGTATCTTTCTTTCTTTTCTTTTTCGCCACCACCACCTTCTCCTCTTTCATCGCCTCCTCCTCCTTCTCCACCTCTTCCTTCTGCATTATCTCTTTCTCTTCTTCCTTTTTCTCCACCACCTTCTCCTCTTTCATCGCCTCCTCCTCCTTCTCCACCTCTTCCTTCTGCATTATCTCTTTCTCTTCTTCCTTTTTCTCCACCACCTTCTCCTCTTTCATCACCTCCTCTTCCTTCTCCACCTCTTCCATCTGCATTATCTCTTTCTCTTCTTCCTTTTTCTCCACCACCTTCTCCTCCTCTGTTAGTTGGGTGCTGGTATCTTTCTTTATTTGTTTATTTTTCTCCACCATCACCACTTCCACCACCATCACCACCACCTTCTTCTTTTTCATCATCTGCTCCTTCTTCTCCACCACAATCTCATTCTGCATTATCTCCTTCCCTTCTTCCTTTTTCTCCACCACCTTCTCCTCCCCACTTTTCTCCTCCTCCTCCTCATTTGTCTTTTCTTGCTTTGTGTTATCTTTCTCTTTGTCCACCACCTCCTCCTCTTCCATCACCTCCTCTTTCTTCTCCACCACCTCCTCCTGCATTATCTCCTTCACTTCTTCCTCTTCCACAATCATCTTTTCATAGATCTCATGTTCAGAATCTGTTAAGACAAATGATTGCAGTTTGCACATAGTACAAAGTCATTTTCAAGGAGACGTTAAACTCCAGATAAAGGGGAGTAAAAATACAATTTATTAATGACATTATACACTAGAAAATATTGAGATGCAAAAACCATAATTTACCATCAGATGAGGAAAGTGTGAACGGCTCATTACGAGGACAGAAGCAGAACCATCGTAGAGCAGCTCTAATGAAAGAAGCAACCTTGCTCTTCTTTCTCTTCTTTCTCTTTTCTTTCACTTTCTCCTTCTCATCTGTTAAAAGAGAAATGATTGCACATCTTTACACACTTGTCTACAGTTATTTGAGACATTCAACATTCACCAAAAACAAAAACCCCAATATATAACCATTTTAAAAAGTTATTGTAGCTAAACCAAGGTTACCACAAGTTTACCATGGATTTGCTACACTTTTGTATTTTATTATTATTTATTGTAATTGACTATAATACTTTATTAATTTCATGTTATATAAAACTGCTTACACAAATGATCAATGCACCAAATGATATAAAAACTACATGTTCAGTGCACTTTTTTAAAATAGAAAACTGAATACTGGGTTATATTGCACAGCTAAAGTTTTTCAGCCAACAGTAAATTTCCGATGAAAGGTTTCTGTGATTATTTAACATTTTATAGGGTTGCTTTTACAACATAAACATCGTGATGTAATTAAATTACAATCAGTTAAATTAACCCAACCATTCATTTAGTTGTTTAAGCATAAAACGAGACAATAGTCTATTGTATGGAACCGCTAGCATCGTCAGTACCAGCAGGCTAGCGCAGAAACTCCATTTAAAATACTGAGCTAAAATAAATTTTCATGTTTAATTTAAATGTCATTTAATGCAGTGATTCTTGTCCGGGCTGAAACCCACTTTATATCAAATATATATTTGTCAGTGATGATCACATATTTTTAAAGAAAACAGATCTTAAATGTGGTGATTTTGTAATGGAAGCCATCGGGGCTTTCGGTTGAAAATGAAAAGTCTGTGTGCATATCTCATTTTACTAAAGGATTTTAGACTAAAGCTGTATCAGAAAAGCTGAAAATGAAATACATTATCATTTTACCCAAAATGTTGCGTTAAGATGCACATGAATGCAATGATAGCCAGCAGTTTAACCAGCTGTCTATTATCCTGTACAAACATTATTTTTAATAGTATATTATTATGTCAGGAAAACACTGGATATTGGATAGCACAATGTAAATATGACTCACTATTAGTGCCATTTCTTGGCCTTTCTTTGAGCTGCTTCACTTTTTTCTGGCTCTTGGAGATCTTGCAGGGTTTGGGAACTTCGTCTTCCTCCATTTTAGCAGCTGATGTTGTGGGGAGATCAGAAATCTGTTCAACCATCATATAATTCGGTACAGGGTTTCAGTCTTTCACCTGTAACCACTCAAAAACTTGGGGTTTGCTAGCTGGAATAGGATGAGGATTTCGGTCTTGCACCGTGAATCACTCAAACGGAAGATGTTCAATCGCTGAGACAGTCTTAAAACACTCGGAACGCAAGTTTTTTAACACTTAACAGCCAAAAGCACACCTGTACTACTCCACTTCAACAAACCCACAAGATATTCTCTGATGATGCAGGGCTTCAAGTACACTTTTGGAATGCGTTCTATTCTCAGAACATGTCACTATGGTAACAAGACATAGGACTAAGAAATGTTTTCTTTTAAACTCAAATGACTGCAAATGTGCAAATGACATAAAATAAATGAAAAAAATAGCTATATAAATTGATCTAAGGGACAAAAGCTGTCTTAAATAGATAATCAGTTAGAAATTGCTGTAACTGTAGACAAAGAAGCACAACAAATGAAACCTGAGAGGTTTTTGTGATACTCAAACCACAAAACTGACATATATAGACTGAAATAATATCTAATAAATTAATTTGAAGTATTCCGCTTCAATGTGATCCATCCAGCAAGACATGCTGCAAATATACATGCCATTTCCATAAGAAATAAAAAATATAGTCATTAGTGTAGGAGTGCAACATCAACTCGCAGGAAAACAAAAATCAAAACTAAATGTAAATAATTACCTTTGAACAGAAAATATAGTTTAACAAATGAAAATCAAGAAAATAATTCAGAATCAGGCCATAAGAGGCAGAACAAATGTGTGCAAAAGCGCAGGCAACATATATTCAAAATGTGAATCAAAAATAGTTGAGTTGGTAACACTGAGTGATCAAAAAATGAAATAAAAAATAACTTCATTTACTAAAATATAGCCAGAATGTTTTTTTAATCTGCAAATAATACTAAACATGCTAAACTTTTAGGAATAGGGTATTATTGTAATAATTGATCATTTTTATATCCTTTTACATAATCTTCCATTTACAATCAAATTATTTACATAAGAAAGTGTGAGTGGACAACATAAAGTTTATAAATAGGCATGAAACTTAAGGGTTTATAACAGAAGCGCGTTAGAATAAGAGTTATACTCAATCAATTTGGACCAAATGCAAACAATATATATTTTTGCATTTTTTTGTGTTGTTTTCTTCATAATATACTTTTAACAATGTTAAACTTGTAATTAAAAAAGAGGCATGTTGAAAAAAATCTACACAACTATTCAATTCAATTCAGCTTTATTTGCATAGCGCTTTTACAATGTAGATTGTGTCAAAGCAGCTTCACATAAATGGTCATAATAACTGGATCAGATGCAAACTAGAGTTTGCAGCAAGCATTTTTGTCGGGAGAGCTTTATGATATTTGTAGAATGGCAGACTTTTTTCAGTTGAGTTCGTTCCCTTTCAGACATATCGCCTATATCCACCTATGTTTAAAATCTTCCGGATTACCAGTAGGGATAATGGTTGAAATGGATAGGGCAAGAGACCTGCTGCACCTCTATCCACTGTGTTTGCGTTCAGACCCAGGGATTAAGGAGGAGAGAAATCCTCCTCATTTATAGTGTATATATAAGCATGATTATCTTTAATTATATAACAAATTGTCGTCATGTTTATATGAAATTATGAATAATAAATGTAGCAGGACATTAAATTGCTGTTTATTTCTTTGAATTTTAACTTTGTAAACTATAAAATCATATCTATAAAATATGTCTCCTAACGGTTTGTGTATATATGATATGATATGATATGATATGATATGATATGATATGATGTGATGTGATGTGATGTGATGTGATGTGATGTGATGTGATGTGATGTGATGTGATGTGATATATGCACAAAAATGTTAAGCACCAAGCGAATCAACATGTTTTCATCGATAAAATATGAACTCTTTAACACCAATAATTGTTCTAAACAAAGCAAATTATCCTATTAGAATGATTTCTTGAGTAATATTTCCGAAAATTCAGCTTTGAACTACAGGAATAAATAAAAAATGTTACAAAATGTTCACATACAATTGAAGACAAAATTATTAGCTCTGTAAAAATTTCACAGGCTAATACCCTTTACTTCAACTGTAGAAAACAGCTGCAGACTAGAAGAGATTTCTTTTAGAACATAAAAAATATCTTCTCCAGATGAATATTAATTCATTATTATTCTTCTATTCTACACAAGCTGTAGGAGTCAAACCGTACGCTGACTGTGGATGTTGCCAACCTTGCCGGTGAGAAAGAGGAGCTCAACAATAAACCGAAGCACATACAGCAAAGTGAGCTGACTTCTATAATAATATAAATAGAGTGATGGTACAATGTTCATTTACCATGCTTTAACATTTAATAAACAGAGCTGGAGAAGATCAAAGAAGAAGAGAAACAGATGAAATCTCTCACAGTGTCGTATGAGAAGCAGATACAGGTGGAGAAAACACTCAAGATTCAGGTGCATTTTGAATTTTTTTTATCACAGCTTTGTAACTGTTGATTACATCATAGCTTAAAATAGCTGTTTTTTTGCATGTCTCGCCTGAATTCCAAAGTCAGATATCTGTATTGTAGGCTATAAACAAGTTGGCGGAGGTCATGAAGAAGACGGACGGCAGGCCACACCAAATCAACAACACAGACATCCGCAGGAAGGAGAAGGAGATCAGACAACTCCAGCTGCAGCTCCGCACGAAAGAAAAGCTTAACCACTCCATTATCAAATACCAGAGAGAAATCAACGACATGCAGGCTGTAAGTGACACTAAATAAATGTAACATCTTTTTTTTTTTTAAATCCTTCGTTGTACATATCATTAGGCAAGGGCGTAGGTTTGCGCTTGACATTGGTGGGGACTGGGGACGAGTCTCCCCCGCCAAGAATGAATATTGTTTTATATATATATATATATATATTTTTTAAATATTGCTATTTATTATTTAACTGCTATTAAAATGTATTATTAAGTAATCCTCTCTTCTTACAATTTATTAAGTTAAATTAATCATGCGCGTAGCCAAGGGGGGTCAGGTGGTTTGAAAGACCAAAAGTTAGATTGGACCAAAACAGATTTATTAGAAAGATATATTTAATAAAATAATATTTTAGTCACAGAACATCTTTAGAAATGAAAAGATAATATTAAATTCATGCAAAATACTGCAAAAAAAATCTACAACATTTTACGACAATTACAAACTACGACATTTCAACAGGATTGCATATATTTTTTGTTTGTCTTGATGTTTGCTATTTTTGAAAATTAGTATTTTTATATTTTTCCCTAACATAGAATTTTGTTTTATTTTGTTAGAAAAGCTCCAGATTTGGCTTCAGTGCTGATTAAACTAATGTATATGCACAAATATAATATTGTAAAGCATCCCATAGGAAAGAGGGAGGGGGGGGGGTGTACTCGTATATGCTGAGCACTGTAAGCGTGTATTTATGGATATTAGTCATAACTGAAATATTCTACTTTTATTCTACTGTTGTTTTAAGTTCTTTTGACGTTAGCAAGGCTGCATGTATATTATCAAATTATATTTATACACATAATAATGTGAATTGCTTCTTTTTTTACAAATTGGTAGTTTGCTTTCAAATATAAAACGTATCAGAACCGCATATAAAATAATAAATCATATATTTGTATTGATATATTTTATTACTACATGGAAAAAAAGGTGTTCATGTTAAACAAGACTGCAAGTATTTGATCCAAAATGTATTAACATCAAAAAAATTGTGACATATTTCAGCCAATGATATTTTAAAATATTTGAATGTTTTTTTTATTTGTGTTAATGTTAATTTACTCCTGTGATGTCAAAGCTGAATTGTCAGCATTTGTTTTTTCAATGTTGCTCGATCCTTTATTATATATTTACATTTTATACTTCATAAATTAATATACTACTATGATGTTCATGAAATATCTTATTATCAATGCTGAAAACAGTTGTGCTGCTAAATATTCCAGTGGAAACTGTTAGAAGCTTTTTAAAAGACATTAAATAGAGCTGAATTTCACTGGATTAAGATTTTTGTAACATTTTAATGTATTTACTGTACTTTCATTTTAGACCAGTTTAATTGCTTGCTAAAAATTGCTTGTTATAAAATTGTTGATATAAACCGAAGCTTTTGAAAATGCATTTTAACACATGGAGTTTTGAACTCTGAAAAGAATCTGTTTTTTGGTTTTTGTCCTCCAGTGAACTACGAGATGTCCACAGCGAAAGAGATGCTGCTGCTGGCAAACTCCACAGAGGAGCAGAAGAAGTGTGTCAGTCGGCTGCTCAAGAGGGTTCCGCGTAAACCCTCCATCGCCCACTCGTCCAGCATAGCCATATCCGCTGCGCCCTCAGAGGCAACACCCACTGCCCTTTCCCCTCAGCCTTCGCCTCGACTCGCTCAGTCTTCACCCAGACTTTCACACCGAGCAGCCGTCAAAGTGCACTCTACACGACAGCAGCCCTCCAGCAAGAACAGGTGAGGAGGAGACGCTTTCACTCACCCTCAACTTATTCCAAACATGTGTCTCTCTTCTGTTCAACACAAAAGAAGATATTTTGAAGAATGCTGTAAATTGGTAGCCATTGGCAGACACAGTAGGGAAAAACAAATACTTTGGGTACATTCTTCAAAATACCTTCTTTTGTGTTCATTAGAAGAAAGATACTGATGGAGATTAAAAACTGATATTGACTGAATTTATATTTTTGAAGAAACTATACCTTTAATGCCCAGATATGAAGAATGTTTTGTTCCTCGTTAGGAAGAAAAAACAAGTTTGAAATTCCAGAGTGGTGGTTTAGTGTTTGTGAACATCTTGACATCATCAACACGCCTCAGTGATGTTTAGATGAATATGTAAATATGTGCTGTGCAATTTTTTCTTACAGAAACAACTAAATAAATGTTAACAAAAATGGCTGTGGTGACAAAACAGCAGTTTTCAGCAATCCAGGCATGTGGAGTCTCATCATGTTTATAGCAGTTTAATCAAATACACTAAGTATTAAGCTTTTTAAGTATCAAACATGATCAAATCTTTTCTTAATAAATTACTCTTCCACTGTAAAGCAGCTCTTTACCAACAATGGTTACTTTTTAGTGCAAAACTTTTTAGAACCTTTATTTTGAATGTGTTGGATTGTATTGGCCTCAATAGACTTAGCAGAACAAATGCGCTGGAGAAGATTAACCTGTTAAAAAAGGCGAAGCTCTAAAGCCACACCTATGTAAAATGGGACCAGGCAATGACCGTTTAAAGGTGTTTACCAGCGGATGCACACTTTTGCTCAAAATGACAACATCAATTTCTGTTGATGTATACTAGGGCCTTTAGGTTATATTGAAATATAGTATAATTGTAGGATATAGTTACAAGACTTCATCTAAAGCAATGTTTGAAATCTTCTATTACTAACACTTGATGTTTTATTGGATAAAAAAAGAGAAATAGCTTGATTTATTCATCATTTCCCATTCAGCTCTTTGCCATTACCTCATTTTGTGTGCCAAATATTATCATTTTCATTCCAAAACATGTTTATTTGTAGTTCTACAATAGTAATGAAAAACAATTATAATTTAACGGTTCAAAACATTTGAATGTTTATCGTGCTTTATTAGTTAGAATTTGCATAACTCAGCATTTTAACCAATTGCAAAAATGATGCAAAAAACCTTCTGATTAACCACTGAAATAAGCATTAGTTTTGTTAAATATAAAAATAATTATCATTAATTGATAACATTCTATTTTTGTTAATGCTAAAAAAAAAACTACAAGCAAATGTAAATAAAATCATGTTTAATTTTCTTAATTCTGTAATAATACATTTGTGCTAATAGTTAAAACACTTTATTTTTTTATTTTTTATTTTATTAGACAAAGCTCTTCCATGAAAAATTAAATGCCTAATTCATGCCAATTCATGTAAAGTCACTTTCTGAAAAATAAATCTTTTTTACTTTCCTGCATACACTTCTGTCTGAACTGTTCTGCTCAGCTTTAAACTAAAAAGTGTATCACTGCACTGCTATTGTTGTTGTTCTGACTAATTGCTCATATATAGATACATATCTCAAAATAAAAGAAAAATTCATCCAAAAATGGACTTGTATAGACTGCTCACTGTAATGTTGTGCAAGGAGTTGTGGTCACTTTGAAAAACAAATACCTCACTAAACATAAAGAAAGTCAGCAAATCAATTTGGCATTTTCATTTTTGGGTGAACTACTGCTTTTAATTGAGGTAAACATAGTGTAGTGTCATGTATGTAGACTTGGCTGTGAAGATCTCAATAGCTTACAATGATACCGCTAACCTTTTGTAGCCCTGGCCCAATGCGCCGTATCATTCTTCACTGACCTTTCACCTTCCCTACTCGTGTAAATGTGTGGACAGTAAGTACCGTGCACTGCATCTCTTTTCTGCTCATCTTCAACATGTTTGGCTGCTTGTTCTCTTCTCTGTTTGCATCTGAATCCTCAGTACTAAAAAACACTCCACTAACAATGCAGGCTCTCTCTTTTAATTCCATAATATTGCCATCTAATCCTATCTAAGCTGTGAATATTTTATTTTATTTTAGACTATTTTCAACCCAGTAAATGGGTTACTCATAGTGGTCTTAATGTCTAAAATTTAACTTAAACTCTGTATGAATCTTTTAGTGTTCAAGAAAACACAAAATATCTCTCTATATATTTTTAAAGGCTGAAAAAGTGATAACATTACCAATCTTTTTTTATTTTGTGGCCAAAAAAAAAAAAATGTATCTTTTGTGTTTTTTCCCCAAGTTTTTTTTTTCATGGCATCTCTGCCATGGTCATTTTTGTGACATTTTAATTGAAATCTTTGTAAATAAAGAGCAGTGGGTGTCTCCATCACATCATGTAGAGCTTAAAAAAATAAACAGCAGTTTTCCAAAAATGAAATGTTCCAATAATGAAAAAGCAATAATATCATCATGAGGGCTTCTCTAGCAAATATCTACTGGTATAAAATCAAATAAAAAAGAAAGTTATCTGTAAATTAAGGATAGCATTTGTCCTCATCACGTATCTTGTGTAAGTGTAGTTTTAAATATACAGTGCTCAATATATATACATGAGTACACCCCTCACAAATCTCTCATTTAAATTAATATTTTCTATAGGATGCTTTCCAATATTATATTTGTGCATATACATTAGTTTAGTCAGTACTGAAGCCAAATCTGGAGCTTATTGGTGTAATTTGTCTTCATCACGTATCTTCTAAGTGTAGTTTTAAATATACAGTGCTCAATATATATACATGAGTACACCCCTCACAAAACTCTCATTTAAATTAATAATTTCTATAGGATGCTTTTCAATATTATATTTGTGCATATACATTAGTTTAGTCAGTACTGAAGCCAAATCTGGAGCTTATCCGTGTACTTATTTATGCTGAGCACTGTATGTATATATATATATATATATATATAT